AGAGAGAGAGAGAGAGAGAGAGAGAGAGAGAGAGAGAGAGAACTCAGGTTCTCGAGCTTATATGTCAGGCTTCTTACTAACTGAGCCATCACCTGAGCCCATCATGGTTTTCCATGGAATCAGACATTCGATCTTTGTGGTGGTGAAGTTAATGATTATTGAGTATCTATACCAGACATTACATTCAACATGACGGCACACAGCCGAAATAGCTCAGTTAGGAGAGCATTAGACTGAAGCATACTGGAATCATAAATGTATCTCATGTAATGTATCTCATGTAATGAGTTCCACTGTGTGCCCTGACCTTTCTCAGGACCAATAGCAAGATCCTAAAGGTAGAGTTGGAAAGTATCTGTGCTGGGGGAGCTTTACAAGGTCTGTGCCCAAACTCTTAACCCTTCTTCCTACCTATCGCTGGGGAGTAGTAGAGCATTGTTTTCTGTGGCTGTGTGAATTGGTTTGTTTTTGCTTTCTGAGACCATTTATTCAGTGCCCTAAGTACCTTCACTGTCAGATTAACCAGTTATTTTTCTACAGTTGGTCATAAGACTTTGGAGTAAAGTCCTCACCAAAAGTTTGGATACCTTGTCTGTGGTTATTCTACCTCCCCGTCTGCAAAGCCATTTACTGCAATTCACAGCAACATTCTTTTAAAAATGTTTTAGTTGCCATACTTTCTGTTTCACAGAAGGCAAATTTATTGGAAATTGGTAATCTAAAACGAAAAGGTCAGCTTTTAATTTTGTCAAATAAGAGTAGTGAGAAAAGTGAAAATTTTTTCCAGAAGATAATTTTCATGCCCTGAGAGTAAACTGGTTTTCCCCTCCCACATTGTCCACTCTAGAACATACTAAGTTGTTCCTCTGCCCAGAAACCCACATCTGGTAGCAGGCTGGTGTTTCAGTAAGCTTTCATGTGACCATTAGAGTTGCCATCTGTAAATTCACCGAATTCTATTATGTGTACCATACATATGTCCTTCATAACCAAACACATGAGTTGATAAACCACTTAGTTCTTAAAGTATGTCCTGAGCGTTCTAGAACCTTGGAGAGACAGCTGTGTTATTCATGACTGCTGTGAGGGCTACCTATCCTGCTGACTTACGAACTACTCACTCCTGACTCAACGGGTAAGACTGCCCTTACAGAATACCAGGTAGCCCAGAGTTGTTAGCAGGCTTGAGGTAAATGACTCATTGTGTGGATAGCTATGAAGTCGTGCGTGTTGTGGAAACCACGTTAAAACTCAGCTTTGAGTTGGCTACCTCATGATGATTCACTGAAGTGCTTTTGTATTTTGTAACCTAATTTGTTAATAAGTTTATAGGAAGCCAATTAAGCTAGCTGCTGATCTGTGTAATTTTTCTCACAGTCTTTGATTAGAAGTGTATTTAGACTGTATTCCTAAACAAACAATTTTGCCCCCCCCAAAAAAAAAAAAAAAAAAAAAGCAAAACAAAAACAGGCTACCGCTTTATTTGATACCTACCCAACATGTTGAACTAATTGCATTTCACTCGTTTAGATTCATTAGGGGCTGCATCACCAACAGGAAAAAAGCCAAGGGCGTGTAACTGTGCTCCCAGTGTTCCACAGGCAGTCAGTGCCCCAGCCTCCTCCTGTCTTCAATCTCATTTTTCCTTCTCATCAAATCCCCATGTTGGTCATCTGTTTTCTATTCCTCAACACATCACCAGTGTCAAGGACATTTTATCCAGAAACAGGTAAACAATGTGATATGACTATGACTGCCAGTAGGAAAGATTACCAAAAAGCAAATGAAAATTGAAAATGAAAGGCCAGTAAGTTGAAAATATTTAACCAAGAACCATGTGTCTCAGCCCCTGAGGACATCTCTGTGATCAAATTCTACAAGCAGTGTTTCACACAATAAATTGGCATCAAGCAGTGTGTGATAGTTGAGAGGCAAGATGTTCCATTCACGGATACTAGTGCCCACGTTGAGTTAAAAGTTTAACACTTAAAATGCTATATATCAACTCTAAAGTGTGCCCAGGATGTCCTAGCTATGTGGGAGCTTTATTGCAGGAAGCCCATTCAGCTGAAACATTTTCAAACGTAATTACCAGTTTGTCACATGATTTAATTTCCTAAAACATGGCAAGAGCTGAATCTGGCAGGTAGGATTTAAATTGCATAAACAGTGTTAGAGAACTTGCCCACTCCAAGGGCAGTCGAAAGTCCTGCTTCAAAGCCACACGCACAGCCATTCTTTTGAGTGTCTCCAGGCCTTGGCTGTATGCAGATTAGTTAGGGAGAACACCTATAGCTGCTATGTTAGTTTAACTGCTCCATCTGACCCAGTGCTTTATAAAGTTTGTCATAATGGGCTTTGAGTGGAAGCTTGCTTTGTCATATTCACCAGGTTCACTCATTTGTCTTTTGCAGAAGGCTAGTTTAGTGAAGTCATGAAGCAGTCATTAAATGCAACACATCCACTGGGAAGTGCATATTATTAGCAAATACACATTCCTGTACTGTTTGGTAAGGACACTGGAAACATGTGCAGAAAGGCAATAATAGGGTTTTCAGCTAAGGATGGCATCATTCTAACTTTGCAGGGGTTTACATGCTCAGATTCATTGCTTGCTCAAACAAAAATCACAAACATGCATTAAACAATTGTAGTAAAAGAATATTTGTAACTGTTTTCTTGGAACACTGGTCAAACAGGTCAGCCATGATGACCCTTCTTCAGCACTATGATGTAATTTCCAAAATGTAGAAAAGGGAGGAAGTTGGTAAATTGTCTAAATACAAAGATGATCTTTACACTAGTAAGAAAATAATCTGAAAACGATTCAGTAAACTTCCCATCCGTGGCACTTACAGTAGTACATTTTCCTGCATGAACACACTAGACTAGAGGAACATATCAATTACTTTCATTGACCAGATTTAAGAACAATGCTTACAAGAACAGAACTCTGAAGAAAATGCTCCCAGGAAATGAGGCAAACTAGGTAGCAATTTTGAACTAGGCAGCAAAGCACTAGGAAATATAAAAGAAAACAGAAAATCTAGAAAACATCTGATTTATACTGACCCCAGCAAGGAAAATGTTTTATTTGACCAACCACCAAGCAGAAAATGGAATGTGTGTTTTTAAATCCACAATTCAGGGTTCTGGAGCTGTAGCTCAAAGCCCAGCTTCACAAGGCACAAACTTATCCCCAGCAACACTAGCCCAGTGCTTTTCATCATAGTGACTGTGTTAACTTTTCCAACAAGAGCATACAAGCGTGCCCGTTTCTCTACATCCTTGCTAACATTTGTTGTTTTGTCTTTATATATGGACACACACACACATATGTATACATACACACATGTATGGATTACATTTATATTTATATGCACACACAGACACACACACACACACACGTATATCTCCTTTCTGACTGGAGAGAGGTGATATATCTCACTGTGGTTTTGATGGAGGCTGCAAAGTTGGAGAAAGACAGAAAGAGTTTAGATAATAGTTCCAAACCACTATTAGAAGGATTAAGTTCTACTGTTGTGTAGCCCAGTTGGGTAACTACAGTTCACAATAATCTAGTACCTCCTCTACGGATAGCTAGGGACAGAAAGAGTTCAGAGGCTTCAAAGGAAGTGAAGACAAGAAGACCAAAGTGTTAATGACTGAAACTTCATCAGTACATACTGTATACATTTATTGAAATATCACACCGCATTCTATACACCCTGGGATAGAAAGACCTGAAGCCTTTGCTGCCTGTTGGTGTGCTCTGACTCAAAGCCTCCATGCCACGATGCTGAGTGACATCTCTAGGACATCCATGCCCTTTCTCTGGGCTTTCCCCACCCCCACCTTGAGGATTTACACTTCCCATTTTAGCATGGGGGCCTCTGAACCTCAAGTCCCTGGTTGGCTTCTTACT